GATGTTGAAAAGGAGCAGAGAGAGAACCGAACCCTGTGGTACCCCACAAAGGAGGGGCCAAGGATGGGACCTCTCGCTCCCTATCACCACCAATTGGGATCGGCCCTGGAGAAAGGAGGTGAACCAGCACAAGACCGTGCCACCCACCCCCAGTTCCCTGAGCCGTCCCAACAAGATACCGTGGTCGACAGTATCGAAAGCCGCTGAGAGATCGAGGAGAGCAAGGATGGTCGCACTTCCACCATCCTGTTCCCACCAGAGGTCATCCATAAGTGTGACCAATGCCATTTCCATTCCATATCCGGGCCTGAAACCTGACTGGAAGGGATCCAGATAATCTGTTTCCTCCAGGACCCTTTGGAGCTGTGATGCCACCTTCCACACCCACCTCCCCAAAAAAGGGGAGGTGGGAAACTGGACGAAAATTGTCCAGCACAGTAGGATCCAGGGAGGGTTTCTTGAGGAGGGGGTGCACCTATGCCTCCTTAAAAGCAGCTGGAAACACTCCCTCCTGCAAGGATGTAGTAACCATTGCCTGGATCCAACCACATGTCACCTCGCGAGCTGCTTTCACCAGCCAAGAGGGGCATGGGTCAAGATGGCAAGTGGTGGCCTTCACAGTCCCCAGGATCCTGTCCACGTACACATACAGTATACACACACACATATCCCACATAACACAAATAGGGTGCAGCTTACATCATGACATCATGATAAATATTTCATGATTTTTATATGGACTCCTTTGCACACCACATACATACCACTGCTGTTCATCAGATGTTATCATCTACCATAATTTAAAAGCATTCCTGAGTCTGAATGTAAGGGGATAAAAAGAGATACTTTCTCACTGTTTGGATTTGGACAGCTGCTTGGTGGTCTTCTGAAACCTGGTACCTTTTAGATGTCTTCGGATCATGTATTTCAGAATTTCCAGCTAGTGTGACCAAATAGCCATGGGTTGGTAAAGGGTAGATTATGAGATACAACAACTGAAAGAGGCACTTTGCCAGCAGTATCTGATTGGAAACCAAACTTGGGGAATACACAGCAATGGCAAAGTTAAAAGTGTATATCCAGAACAGAAGTTTGATTAAATTTAAGCAAGAATGGCCCCCTATATATCATGTATCACACAATAGGGCAAACTCAGACACCATGAGTACAGTTTTAAAGGGGAAAGAATTGATAAAAGGACAGTAATTAGAACAATTTCAGTACAGTGGTACCTCGGGTCACGAACGCTTCTGTTCACGAACAATTCGGGTCACGAACAGCTCCGTTCGCAAAATTTTGCCTCCGTTCGCGAACGCCGGATCGGGTGACGAACAGGATCCGTGGCCATTTTCCCTGCTGTGACACATGTTCATGGCTTCCCTCCAAGCAATAACCACCTCCCCACACGCCTTCCTGTCCTCCACGCCAGAAGTCGTGTCAAGCAAGGTTAGCGTTCTCTCTCTTCGTACTGTACTTTGTGTCATATTTTTGTGGTTTTAAAAAAAAAATACATATGGTTCAGAACAGATTAACCGTAATGACATTGAACCTTATGGGAAAATTTGATTCGGGTCGCAACCAAAATCGGTTGGCGACCAAATTCGTAGGGGTCAGAACGGATTAACCGCATTTACATTGAACCTTATGGGAAAATTTGATTCGGGTCGCAACCAAAATCGGTTGGCGACCAAATTCGTAGGGGTCAGAACGGATTAACCGCATTTACATTGAACCTTATGGGAAAATTTGATTCGGGTCGCAACCAAAATCGGTTGGCGACCAAATTCGTAGGGGTCAGAACGGATTAACCGCATTTACATTGAACCTTATGGGAAAATTTGATTCGGGTCGCAACCAAAATCGGTTGGCGACCAAATTCGTAGGGGTCAGAACGGATTAACCGCATTTACATTGAACCTTATGGGAAAATTTGATTCGGGTTGCGACCAATTCGGGTCGCGACTAGAGTCGCGGAACGAATTAAGTTCATGAACCGAGGTACCACTGTATTTATAAATATTTTGATGCAATAATCAGTCAGGTACAGTGGGAGACAATTTAGAACTATGTAGTTTCTTGATGTTTTCACTGATTTTTCTCTTTTTTTAATTTTATTTTTATTTTTCAATTTTTTTCCTTTTCTTTCCCTTTACATGATTATGCATCTGTTTTTGGAACAATGACAGATAGTAGTGATATCAATATTAATATGTTTAGGGCTTTATAGTGATATTTAGTTATTTTTGAAGATGATACAGTGGACCTAGTTCTATAAATTTAATTAATTCATTAATGAAATAATGAATCTTAAATTGTATAGTTGTAAACCCTATTTATTTATTGATGTTTTATTCTCTATCCACTGTGTCTCTTTCTTTTTATGTAGCTATTGATTCTGTTCTTTACATATTTTAACAAATAAATTAGTAATTTAAAAAGAAAAAAAAAGATACAAGACCTAAATGGTAACAAGTACAATTGTAAAATTATATTACAGAAGCTTTGAAAACAACTGGAACATTTATAAGCTACTTGCGCACCAGAAACCAGCTCAGAAAAAGGTGAGGAAAGAAGAGACAGTGAATTATCTGAGTGCTTGTGTTTGGAGATAAGAGGAATGGTGGTAATGCTCCACAATCATGTATAAATGGTATATGTGTTACTGACACTTAGGTATGCCTAAATGTAGATAGAAATGCAACATTTATGTTCTGTGTATAGACCCAAAATTGATGGTGACTGAAGCTTTGCATTGTTTTTATTTATTTCAGAAAATGTTTAATTTGTGTGGAAAAAGGTTAAAATAACTGCTTTGTGAATTAAAGGCACTGATTGGAACAGCCTTGGTAGTACTCTCCTCTAGTTAATATTTAGGCAGAGAACTGACAACTGCAACTATAATGACCTTTTTATCATTTTTAAAGGATTTTGTAGGAAAAGGGGAGAAGAAGGTATACCTGAGACAACCTTGCTTGTTCTAAATCCTGCTTCAATCCTGAAAAGACTCGGAGGGGTGTTGAGAAAGATAACCAGTTTTTATTTAAGACTCCTCACGCACCCACTTTCCCCTTAATGTAATCCCTCTTAAAAGTTCATCCACAGCTTTAACGTCTTCAAATTCTGCATGGCTTGCTAATTGTCTTTTCCTTTCCACCAGAGCAATTTCAGTATTGCCATTCTGAATGTAGGAGCCCCAGCAGCAGGCATGAATGCAGCAGTCCGATCAGCTGTTCGTGTTGGGATTTGCCAGGGTCACACAATGTATGTGGTGAATGATGGCTTTGAAGGCTTGAGCAAAGGGCAGGTAAGTCTTGTTCTGATTAGATGAAAGGCTGCCCCTTCTCCTGGATCTCTTCTTTATGTTACATTAGAACAACTAAACATCAATATTCCTTTGGAACTTTATGAATTTTTTATGCGTCATTTAGAGTTTTAAAATTTCAGATTGAAGGGGATTCAAGTATTGGTACTAATAATTCTCATGCAATAAAATATTGATGTGCCACTGGTTTGAATGGCAGAAAAACTGGTGTGTTAGTTGATTTATTTGAGGTTGATGGAACAAATCACAACAGGCCTAATTATTTCCTCTTGCAGATCAGAGAGCTGGGTTGGCATGATGTTGCAGGCTGGTTGGGCCGTGGAGGATCCATGTTGGGGACCAAACGGTTAGTGGTTTCAAAGCCAATAAGAACTTAGAAGAAACTATAGATTGAGCACAAAAAGAATTTGGGGTCTAGTTGAAACTCTTCATAAAGGTAGAGAATATGTAGATGATCTAGTCCACCCTTGACCTATAACAAGATATATGACCTTTTCCTACCTCCATGAAAGCCATAAATAATCTATTGCTATTTATTTTATTTTTGAACTATTCTTGTAATTAAGAAACTTATCTTGCATCTGCCTTTCTGCTGCAGAATTTAATTATTTCAGTAGTTTGTTTTTCATGCGCTGTCTTGTGGAGAAAAATCCCAGTCCATCAATTACTTCCATAAATCTGTGCTTAGCAGCTGGGAAGCATCTCAAAACATAGCTTTTCCATTTGCATATTCTTACTGTTTTGTTCTTCAGTTGTAATGATCACTACCTTGCAACAGCAGTTTTAAGTTTTGTTTTGTCTTATTTTTCAACTGTCTGAAATAGATGGCCTTGGAGTATGTGAAAATATTTTTAGACAACCTTTATATGCTGTGTTATATGTAGGGTCCTTTCTTATTCATGTCTCTCTGTCTCCCTGCTATTTATATATAACAAACAACTACAGTGGATTCTCTTTATCCACTAACAAGTCTTCCTTGTTACACTTAGAAGGAATCTCCAACTTCTTGTGTTCTTTAGTCATTGTCTGTTTCTTGTCCCTTTCAGAACAAATTTAACCCATAAATATTGATATTCTAGTTATGAAATGTCAAATGTTAAAGCTGCCAAATCTTCCAGAAGAGTTAACTGAAATTCTAGAAATGATGGATTCTCTTACCCAGCAAGACTTGGATCTAGAACAAAAGCTTCAGGTTTGAACTGTAATCCACCAGTTCTGATAGGCATAATATACCAATCATATTGTCTGCAGAAGGAGTTTGTTTTGACTGATAAGTGTAAAACACAAACACCTGCTGTAGGCTCAAGTTTGGGCTGTTTCACCCATTAAGAATCCCTGTGGAATCCAGTCATCCCTCACCTGTACCTAGCGGGCAGTTCACAGTCAGAACTATGCTACTGATCTTGCGTTATCACAAAAGTGACCCAAGGACTGTCCTATGCTCTGCATAATGTGTCAAGGGCTACATTCCAAAAGTATGCAGGACAGGACCCCAAAGGGACCTTATGTAGGGTAGTGTTTTTAAGGGATAAAAGGATGTTTTAAACTTCTGCAAGGTTTAATACACCAATTAATCCCCTTATTCACCCCCAAAGCTAGTTGGATTTTTTGACCCTGATCACTGTGGGGAATGGGGGGTGCAGAAAAGGGATCCTAGAAGACTATTTGTGGCTCATTGGGCAGACTTTCTGCACTCCTGCCTTAGCAGATCATCCACTTTATGCTGTTGCTTTATCTACAGTATTTGCAGAAATGTATATTGCTGAATTAACAATGTATACAGGTAGTCCCCAGTTTAAGAACAAGTTCTGTCCCCAAGGTCTGTCCTTAAGTCAAATCTGTATGTAAGCCAGAACAGTT